GGGGGGGGGGGGCGCAGGTGAAGCTGATGAGGTGTGCAAGGGCCAGAGGAAGCAGCGATGTAATCAGTGGGCCACCGCAAGGTGTGCGAGGGAAGGGGCATGATTACATTATGTCTCTAGAACAGGGCTGGGCAGCGTCCTGCGAGGACTGGGAACATGCATTATATACGGCCCGCGAGGCATCCGCAGTTCCAGCCATCACATTATGAGGGAGTTAATTAAATGTTTGACCAAAGGTAGCAGGCTGATTTTTAAGTTGATAATTTTGTGTGGCCCGTGAATGTTGTTATAAATATCCAAATGGCCGTTGGCAGAGAAAAGGTTCCCTGCCCCTGCCCTGTCGTGACTGAACTGGCTGCTTTATAGAGAAGAGATTGGAGAGAGGCAAGTGTGGAGCAGGGTACCAATTCAGAGGTCTTTTGTAGAATCCAGGAGGGAGCTGCTGGTGGCCTGAGCTGAGTCCAGGCAGTGTAGAGAGACTGAAGGGAGGAATTGCTAGGAGTTAGTGATGAGGGAGGAGAGGAAGGAATCACACACATGAAGTGGCCAGGACCTTCGGTCCGACAGGAGGGGGGCAGTAAACAGGTGCAGAGGCAGGCCAGTTGTACGTGGGTGGCTGCAGCTCTCAGAGAGGCCGATAGCGGGGTTTCAGACGGGAAGGAGATTTCCTGAAGCACCCTGACCTGCAGTCTTTCTGCCCTGGCTCCTCAGTGCCATCCCGGGTTACAGACTCTTGCTTTTGAAGAGAAGATGTTATTCTCAGAAAACAAATCCGTTCTCTCTGGCAGCTCAGCTGCTCCTGATGAGTCCCGGACATGCAGCTCTGATCATCAGAGAACCCAATGGGAATTGTTTTAAAAAACGTCCTGTTTCTGGGAATTAAACACCTTTCTCTCAGCCTGCAGGATGGGAGTGTGTTTCTCACACACCGTGTGAGGGCTGGAGGAAAACTTGAATCTGCTTGGTCTTTTCCTTGCCTCAACTCAGGCCTGCACCAAAACATCCTTACAGGGTTTTACTTACCACGCTCTCTTACATGGTATAAATCTCAGCCCCTGCCAGTGACCCCTGGATAACACACCTTCCATCTAGAAAATGCCTTTGGAAATGTTTGTCCTGTCATAAGAGTTTGCTGTTTTATATTATGGTGAATTCTTCTTTTCACTAAATAGCAGGTTTGGTAATAATTAGTTTCTACTTTTTTGTGTCATTTTTTTTTCTAACTCCCTTTTGTGTCATTCTTCAGGTTCTTGATGCTTCTTTGAAAGAGTTACTGTGGTCTTTTTATGCTTTAAAAAATTTTAAACCTGAGATATTCATATAGTATAAAGCTCACTTTTTAAGGCATATACCTCAGTGGTGGTTAATAGTTTAGCAAAGATGTGTACCATCATTACTCCCAGATTCCAGAGTATTTTCACTGGCCTTAAAAGAAGCCCTGTACCCCTTAGCAGTGACTCCCCATCTCCTCTACCCACCTCCTGGCCACCACCAACCTGCCTTCTCTGTGGAGTTGCCTGTTCTGGACGCTTCATATATGTGGATCATACACTACATGGCCCTTTGTGACTGACTTCTTTACCCAGTGTGGTGTTTTTAAGGCTAGTCCATGCTGTGGCCTGTGTCAGAACTTCCTCTTATAAAATATGGGTCAGTAATATTTCGTCGTAGATGGGCCACATCTTTAAACCCATCCATCAGCATCAGCGGATGCGTATTGGAGTTATTTTCCTTTTCGGCTGCTGTCAGCAAAGCTGCTACGTACATTCATGTACAGGTTTTTGTATGGACTTAAGTTTTCATTTCTTGGGGATAAATGACCAAGAGTACAATTGCTAGGTCATATGGTAGTTGCATGTATAGTTTTTTTAAAGAAGCTGCCAAACTGTTTTCCAAAGTGGCTGTACCATTTTATTTCCTTCAGCAGTTTACCTCCCCACATCCTCACCAACACTTGTGATTGTCCGTCTTTTTGATCCTAGTCAGCCCGGTGGGTGTGAAGTGGTCTCTCACCATGGTTTTGATTTACATTTCCCTGATGACTAAAGATGCTGAGTGTCTTTTCATGTTCTTATTGGCCGTTTGGAGGCCTGAAAATGTCTCTTCAAATCCCTTGTTCATTTTAACCAGGTTATTTGTGTATTTATTGTTGAGTTGCATGTTCTTTGTGCACAGGCACTGCGTCTCACAGCACTCCACAGATGTTGCATGTTTACAAATTAAAGGCAAGACCCCCCAACAAAAAGATTGCAACTTGCTTTTTTGTGTTACTCCACTACGGTGGTTTACAAGGTGCACCTGTACCCTGGACACTAGTCTTCTGTCAGGTACACAATTTGCAAATATTTTCTCCCATTCAGTAGATTGTGTTTTCACTGGCTTTGAAGCACAGGTCTTTAATTTTTTATGAAAGTCCAGTGGAGGTGACTGTAACTGTGTGTGTGCTTGCTCTTTTGGTATCATGTCAGACGTCATTGCCTGGCCCAAGGCCATGGCGTCTTAGGTCTGTGTTGTTTTCCTGAGAGTTTCATAGTTTTAGCTCTTCAGTAAGGTCTCTGATGTATATGGTGTGAGGTAGATTCCAGCTTCATTCTTTGCATGAGTTTCCAGTGGTCCCACACTATTTGTGGAATGCTGGGTTTCTTTAATGTTTAATTTTTTTCTGTTTCAGTTGGGAATCCTGCTGAAAATGGTGAGAAGGAAATAAGGTCCATGCTTTAAAGACAGACGCATATAACAAGTCCCCTTACACCAGGGGCTGTGTTGGTGCTCGGTGTCCTCAGCACTCACCTTTGTCGTAGAGGAACAGAAAGGGAGCTGGTCTGCCGTCTTCTCACTGAGGTGTCCAGTGCTGGCCCCAGAAACCGCCTTCTTCGAGCAGTAGAGATACCTTGAGAGAGTCTCTTAGTGCCTGTGTCGTCTTTTCTACAGGGGACTTGGCAGGCCGTGCGGAACTGTTGGGGCAAACCTCTCTAAAGATCTGGAATGTGACCCGGAAGGACTCCGCTCTTTATCGCTGTGAGGTGGTGGCTCGAAACGACCGCAAAGAAATGGACGAGATTGTCATTGAGTTAATTGTGCAAGGTAGGGATTTGTGAAGCTAAGATATGCTCCCCTCTCAGCCTCATGAATCTGTATATTGGGGGGGGAGAGATCAACTCTTACTTTCCCTCTGTAGCTACATCCCTGAGGCGTCACATGACTTGGGGAGGGGTGGGGAACTGAGACCAGAGACTGCACGAGTTGGGGGGAAGGTGAGAAGGGAAGTGGAGCTTCAGCCACTTCCCTCCACCAGCTGTGGGAGGTGCTCCTCGGAGGTGGAGGCCTTGGGAACATGCTGTGGGATTGTACTGGGGGCAGGGAGCCACAGGGCAGATTTCTGGAGGCAGGTCACAGTCTGCAGGCGTGACCATGGACGGCAGTGTGCGGAGGCCCTTGGTGGGCTTTCTTGTTTGGGGAGCGGCTTTACTGTGGGATCAGTAAGGAGACTGTAGCTGTGCTGCTGGTTTCAAGCGCCAGCCTGTTTCTCCTGCAGTGAAGCCAGTACCTCCAGTGTGCAGAGTGCCGAAGGCTGTGCCTGTGGGCAAGGCGGCCACGCTGCGCTGCCAGGAGGAGGAGGGCTTCCCCCGCTCCCGATACAGCTGGTACCGCAATGACGCGCCCCTGCCCAGGGACTCCAGGGCCAACCCCCGGTTCCAGAACTCTTCCTTCCTCGTGAACCCGGAGACGGGCACTCTGGTAAGACCTCTGAGAGTGAGGATGGAGGCGGCTTTGCTGGGGCACGGAAACCTGTGTGCAGAAGCAGTTAGGGAGAGAACGAACCTCCACAGTGGGAGCTGACCGCCCGGGAGACTCGGGAAAGGTGGGTTTGAATCAGCACCCGTAGACTCATGAGACGGTCAGAGAAGTTTGGTCACGGGCTGCGTATTTGATATTAAAATTGTTAATTGCTTTAGGCATGATAATAGTATTGTAGTTACGATAAAAAACCTGTATCTCCTAGGGAAACAAATGAAGTATTTGCGGGTAAGTGTTGGTGGGGAGGTGAGTGCGGGCGGCTGTGCACAGCGAGAGCCCGCCGCCGGCCGGTCATCCAGCTCCTGCTGCACCTCGGGGTCCTGGTGGCGGCCGGTAGAGATGGAGCATGGCCAGAGGCTGCCAGGGCCCTCTGTGTCTGGTCTGCCCCGTTTCCTGAGTGAAAGTCAAGCTCAGCATTTTATCCTGGGCGTTGCTAGGGAATCCGCTGCCCTTCCGGGGAGCGCTTAGGTGAGAGTCAGGAGAGGACGCCAGGAAAGAGCCTAGACGGTGACGTGAAGCCCAAGGGGAACCGGGAGCGATGAGCGGACACTTGTCCCTGTTCAGGACAGCGTGTTGGCAGGGGGGCAGCCTCTACTCCCGCAGCCTCTTGGGGGTCTCCCTGCTGATTGGCCTTGTTTCCTTGTCATCCCTGAGCCAGGTTTTCAACTCCGTTCACAAGGGAGACTCCGGGCGGTATCACTGCATCGCGTCCAATGACGCGGGCTCGGCCAAGTGTGCGGCGCAGGAGATGGAAGTCTGTGAGTTTCTTTCTGAAAAGATTTCCTCTGAAGGCTGGCAGGTGACAAATGTTTTAAATTTGGTGTCAGACCATCAGTGTAGACACTGTCCTGCTTTCTCCTGTAGACAGATGACTAGATCCGCCAAGACCCACGTGGGTGCAGAGGCAGGATGAGCAGGCTGGGTAACAGTTGCGTGACCAGGCAGTCCCTGCACTGTGCTCACCTCCTCAGACACTTTCCAGAGCTTGGTGCTGGAAATGGCCAGTTACAGCACTTTCAGCTGAGTGTAATAAGCTCCATTCCTTTGTAATTGATGAAAATGTAAGGTGGTGTAGTCTTCAGGAACCACCCCCCACCCCCCCGTAACCAGGTGGCAGAAAGCTGCAATGCAGTTCAGCCCTGGAATTACCCGGCTGGGTGGTGATGCCGCCTCGAGGTGCAGAGCCGGGATGGGGGTAGGTGGGCCTGTCAGAAGCTTGCAGGGAACTCTGAGCCCCTCCCGCCTCCCTCCTGCAGCCACCCCCAGAGCAGTGTTTCCAAACTTGCCTGATCCTGAGAATCATTTGGGACCACGGTTTCTGTTCAGACTCCAGGGCCCTGCCCCACACATGTGGACGGTCTTGAGGTCAGGAAATGCTGCGTGTAAAACAGCATTCCAGGTGGTTCTGCTCAGCTGTCAGTTTGGGAAGCTTTGCTCCAGGGCAGGAGGAAGACTCCGGGGCTCTGCTCCAGACCTGCTGAATCTCTAGGGATGGAGCTTGGGAACTGAGATTTTAAAAGTTTCATGTTGGATTTTAAATGTGCACTCATAGTGAGAATCACTACAGCAGGGCCAGGGGGAGTTTTCCGCTTCCTCTCGTCGCCATATCCTCTGCACCTTTCTACTGTGTTCCGTTTGCACAAAGGAAACAGTCCTTGGTGGCCACACGCTGCGCGTGACTGGGCTCCTTTGCCCGCCACCTGGAACTGAGAAAAGGGTCGGGGTTTCCGCGAAGGGGTCTTATTGACACGAGGCCAGGCATCCCATGGAGTGAAACTCATATTCTGCCTCATGCTTTTTACTGCTTGAAACGAGCTCTCTTCCCCCAAATAATCCACAGCACGGGAAGCCCTGAAAACTAGGGATTTTTCTTCAGACTCGCGGCTCCTAGTTACGCCTTTATAGCATATCTTCCCCCTTTAGCAGTATTTTCAGGGATTCAGTGGGGGGACTTTAAGCCTTTGATAAATGCCAGGCCCCTTTTAATACAGTACTAAGTATGGCAGCATTTGAGCCATGGCGGGCTCAGCACTTTCACAGGTGAGAACAGGGATCACCGTGTCCTGTGTGTGCTCGGAAGTTTCTGCATGTTCTCCTGGCTGGGGCAGCCGAGGGGCAGGGAGGAGGCCCAGGTGTTTTGTGTGAACAGATCATGTGTCCTCTCCTCCAGACGACCTGAACGTGGGCGGGATCATCGGCGGGGTGCTGGTTGTCCTCGCCGTGCTGACCCTGATAACAGTGGGCATCTGCTGTGCGTACAGACGCGGCTACTTCGTCAACAACAAGCAGAATGCGGAAAGGTGAGCCTGCCTCTTGTGAAAAAAATAAAGCGCACGTTGGCATTAATATGATAACCAGCAATCCCTGCACTGCTCTCTTCTCTGTTTCAGCTACAAGAGTCCAGGGAGGCCCGACGGAGTCAACTACATCAGGACAGGCGAGGAGGTAGGAGTGAGGGAGCAGAACAGGGGTCCTTTCGGGAGCCCAGGAGTCGAGGGGTTCCCAGCAGGGGGAGTGACATTCCTTCTTGGAAACCCAGTGGGCAGGTCCCATAGGAAAAAACATCTCCAAGTCCCATTCCAGAGGCTGAGCTCTCCAGCCCCACATGGTAATGTGCGTACATGCTAAGGCCACGGCTGCCGGCTTTCGATGGTGCTGCTTGCTCACTCAGAGCCCTCAGTTTGCTTTGCTTTGCCAGTTTCTTCATCAGGGAAATGGTGCATTTGGCTCGACCACCACTTTCCGTTTCCCACCAGTTGTTTTCCTTGTGATGCCAACCCCCTCGATGGGCAGAGGGTGGTCGTATCTAACTGTGTGTTGGCCTTGCAGGGCGACTTCAGACACAAGTCGTCGTTTGTGATCTGAGACGGGCCAGTGTGGCTGAGAGCACATGCAATACCTCTACTAGAACCTCCTCTAGAGAGCAGCTCGGAGGAAGTGCACTTGGACAGCTACACACCCGTGCAAAAGCTTTTCGTTTTGCCAAAGTTGACCGCTACTCCTTCCCTACCTTTTAACAAGCCACATGAATAAAAGGATTTTCCTCAAGATGGGCTCAGTCATCACAAGGAAAAGAACTGAGTGAGTTCACTGAGGCTGCCTCCAGCCAAGAGGGAGGGGGACTGAGGCTCTTGCTCACGGACTCTGCTGGGTGCCGGGGCCTGAGAAACCAGGGCGCACATGCGAGGGTGACGCGGGAGCAGAAACCCAGCATGAAGCCTGCAGCTGCAGTTCAAGTCTGTGCGTCCAGACAGAGGCTTTTCTCCAGTGACCCCGTCTCAGTGGCCTGGGCTGCCCTGCACCGCTCTTCTGAAAGGCATTTCCATCAGTGTGGTCGTGTCCGCCTGGGAGAACCCTTTTGGACCAGCATTTATAAAACCACCCCCATCAGAAGGTAAACTGCCTGCTGGCAGAGGGGCCTGCTTAGCTGTGGGAGCCTGCTTGTCCACAGAGGGCTTCGGAAAGGAAAACCTCCCTCAGCCTAAATGTGAAATGGTACTAAAATAACATCTGCTTTTCTATGGGAGTTTATTTTGTAGAATTTGACATTCTAAATTTTTGCTAAACATGTATTTTGGTTATGGAAAAGAAAATTTCTATTTAAACTGTAAATATGTTGTCATACAATGTTGAATAACCTATTTTTTTTAAAAAAAGTTCAACTCACAGTAGGAGTTCCAAGCTACTCGTGTTACACTGAACAATGTCAATATCAAGAGTATCTTAACCCAGGGCGTCCGCAGGCGGCTGCTGGGACAGTCCTCGCCACAAGGGCTTCAGCGTTTTCCACAGAGAACTCACGCCATCAGTACAGCAGACCTCTGTTGCTTAGGGAACCTTCAGAAATTCCAGTTAAGTAATGTCAGAGTCTGCCTGTCACCTCTCCAAAGAAACACAAGGAGCTCTTAGGTTAGCTGTGAATGGCCTCTTCCGTAGATTACTAACTGCCTGTGGCCAAGGACCACCCAGAAGCTGTCAGGCATACACGTGCCAACCATGTCCATCAGCTCCTGGGGCATTGGCTAACCCTGAGGCTGGCTTGCCCACCTCCACGATGCCCGCACTGTGGCCCTGGCTGCCAACTGCTTCAGGGTGGTGTTCATGTGCCACAGGCACTTGGCTCAACCCTGGTCAGTTCTGAGGTGTCCCTTCAGGAAGGTGGCCTGCTTCCTGGGGCTTCCCCGCCACTGGGTTCCTGAGCCACAGCCCTTGCTGGTGTGGATGGCTCAAGAAACAAGCTACTGCTATTTGGTTTTCAGATTTATTTAACTTATTTGTGTGTTCATAACACTGTCCAGGGCCAAAGGCAGTTTTGAATCAAGTCTGTCAACTGTATTTTTAAAGAGAATGAATTCCGCTCTTCCTCTTTGCCATGAAGTCGGCACAGACACGCGGGCTCTGCTCACTTGGCAGCAGAGCTGGGCCCCCGCCCTGCAGCCGGCCAAAGCCGATGGAGAGGAGTCACGCGCCTGAATCAAAGGCTGCGTCCTGATTCTGATTTTAAAGTTTCCATGTATCCCAGACACTGCCACATTGTGGTGACAGTAGAAACAGTCAAAGGCTTCCTGCTTTTGGAGCAGGGCTGCCTCAGGGAACTGCTGTTCCCGTGACCTGAACAAGGACCTGCGCAGAGGAAGCCTGGGTTCCTTTCTGTGCTCAGAGGGGAGGGTTCATATAGAACAGTCACCTTGGGATTAACTTTAAGTGTCTTAATTTTTTATACTTTGAGGGTTTTTTAAAGTGAAGATCTGAGACTTATGTTGACTTTTCTGTTACGTGAAATGCTTGCCCGGGGTGGCTGGCAGCAGCTGGCAGCTCTTCATACTTGCCTAATGGTGCCTCTCTTCTTTTGCATCTGTGTCTTGAGTGTAGCATTAGGACTGTCCCTTCATCTTCGCCTCTTGGTAGAAAGGGATGGCTTCCCCTTTCTCTAATTCTTGGGGATCAGCACTCTGGCCTTGATCTTGGTTGTCGCAACTAAAGGGCAGCCTTATTACCTCCTCTTATGCCCTAAAACCTACCCTGGTGCCATGTGAACTGGGTTACGGGAGAGAGAAATGAAGTGTGGAGCCTGGGAAGCAGTTGCCTGTTACTGTAAAAATGTAGACAGGAAAGAAACTTCACATTTTCAAGTGCAAATGTGACTGAGGGCTTGAGACCAGTGTACAGGCTATGTGGCCTTGGGTGTGGCTGTCGCTGTGCACAGGTGTGGCAGACGTGTACTAACACCCCCCCCAAATCACTATTTGTTAAACCTAGTTTATAAAGACTTTTAAAAAAAACCCACTTCGCCTCATTAGTTCTCATTTCCTCTCATGTTGGGTTTACCCTTCCTTCCAGCGTTTTGCTCAGATGAGCACTCAGAGAGGCTGCCAGCTAATGGAGTGTTCCCTCAGGAGCGGCTCTGGCTCCCACTCTGATGACGTATCTGCACGTCACGGTCCCCATTCGGAGAGTTGTGGGGTGGGCCACAAGGACATTCTGCCCCTCAAACCCAACTACCACGCTCGTATGAGAAACACTGTCCCAGTAACCCTGTGCTTTTGCATCTGTAGTACTGGGATTAAAAAGTGAACCAACTGAATTTCTGGTCATTCTTGGTGAAAACAGACAAGTGTGTTTTAAGGTTACCTGGTGGTGCCAAAAGAAGAGGCTAAAGCCACCCCCTTGCGGGAGAGTCCTCAGCAGACCAGTGACACAGATCAGCGTTAGCGCCACTCAGGGAAAGGGACACGGCCCAGTTTTTCATCAGCAGGACTATATTTATACACTCAGGGACATCTGCTGCCAGGAGGCAGACAGCGTCTGTCTGGGGACATAGCGGGACAGAGGAACTGAACCTTAAAGACAGTCTTTTAAAAAAAAATCCTCACCCGAGGATATTCATTCCACTGCTTTTCAAAGAGAGTGGGAGAGAGAGGGAGAGAGAAACATGGATGTGAGAGAGACACATCGACTGGCTGCCTCCACATGCGCCCTGACCGGGGCCAGGAATGGAGCCTGCAAGGAAGGTACGTGCCCTGGACTGAAATCGAACCCAGGACCCTTTGGTCTGCAGGCTGACGCTCTAACCACTGAGCCAAACCAGCCAGGGCAAAGTCATTCTTTTCTTTTACCTAACAGGAAAGATTTGTGGTTGTTTTTTTCCCTATTCTTAAATATTTTATGTAAATTAAAATGACTACCAATAAGAGCCCTGTTCTAAAAATAGAAAAATTCTACTGCAATAGACTACTTCAAGGCTGTATTTATGCTTAACCTTTATTACTGTTTTAGAAAGCTGTACACTTTTTTAAAAATGTGCAGTTCATAAATAAGAATAGAAAAATACTATAGTCAATATCTTGTCATTACACACGGGAAACTACTATAAAGAATTCAAATCAGCTGACAGAGGCTGGGTTTACATGAAAGAAGCCAATGCGTTGTGTTCCTTAAGGACCAGAATGCACCTCATCAGAATGGACCCGGTACTTTCAAATGGACTGAAGTTAAAACATTAACTAGCTAAGGCATTTCTCTATTATTTTACAATTTTTTACCACATACTTCAGGACAAGCGCTGGTGTTACACAGTGAAAGTGCCCCTGCTGTCCACATGCAGAACCCCGTCTTTCCGAGCCCCCCTGCCCACACGCCCTGAGCACCGGTTCAGTTAGCTGTTTTCAGGGGGGTCTTTCGGAGCGACCTCCTGCTGGGGACCGGGCTGTCTTTATTTCTGGCGGGAGACTTCACATTCCACTGTGGAGGCTGCGGAGGCCTAGGGGAGGAGAAGACGCACTCATTCTGCAACTAAGAAACAACCGACAAAAGCCACCATAAAAGGAACGCTTGCTCAACTTACGGTTTATCAGGCAATGATAAACATAAAATGTCGTTTCCTTGATTCTGGGCTTCAGTTTTCTCTGAAAAGGAGTCAAACACAAACAAAATCAGACTCCGCAGAACCCCAGATGCCTAATGCACCCCACAGGAAGGGCACTTGCCTCTGCCAGGAAAAGGGGTCCGCGGCGTGCCAATGTAGCTGACTCCCGCCTCAAACGTGACGTCACCGATGGTCTCTGAGTGAAGGGAAAACAGCAGGGTTACAGCAAGTCAAGCCACCTGAGCAAGGTCCGTAACGGAGTCGGTCACAGGGCCACTGTCAGACCAGCAGCCCTATGGGTCAGCCCTCAGTTTACTTGACCTTTTTGTAGGACCTGATGCTGTTGAAGCTTCCACCTTCCTCCGGCGTGGTCCTGACTTCCGTTCTCCGACTACCCCCCTCCTTGGGCTGCTTTGCTGGTGCCTGAGCACCCACCCCATGTCTAGTTACGGCCATATGCCAGGAACCCCCAACTCCATGTCGGACCGCCCTCCTGAGTCCCAGGTTTCCTGTTGCACCTCCCCGCGTGCTCATCCCATCAGCCCTGTCCACGCCGGCAATGCCACGCAGCGCCAGCCCCACGCCGCCAGCAGCTGACCCGCTCCTGCCTGCGTACGTCCCCTCCCGCTCTCGCCTTGCCCTTGCTCTCCCTTCCGGCCTCCCCTCCATTCACCCTCAGGAGGCGGAGGGGGGGTAGGGGACACAGACAGTCAGGCTCAGTGTGAATTCTGGCTCTGTCTTCCTAGTTGTGGGAACGGCTCTGGGAACCCCAAGTGTCTTTACCTCTAAAATGGGATACAAATATCAGGATTAAGTGAGATCACTGACGTTGAGTTGAGTCCTCAGCACAGTACTTGGTCAAGGTAAGTGCTGGAGATGTGTGAGCAACTGCTGTCATTTATTAGCTATGAGACCCTGTGTCACTTAGAGGTAAACTGGTTTGAAGATCTGGTGAGGTCTCTGCCCTGCTGAAGGATCCTAGTGGCTCAGTGGTTAGGGGCCAACAATCCAGCCTCAGTCTGAGCTGGCCTCAGCCCTGCACCTGGCCCAGCCACCTTCACAAAACCCACACAGGCACCAGCTGTGGGCCCCTGGCACCCGACTGTCACCGTTCTCTAAGCAACCCTGCTGTGTCACACCTGGGTCCACACAGGCCCTCCTGCCCGAAGTGCTCTCCCTGATCCAGCTACACCATCCTGTTCCTTCTTTTGACATCTGGGTGGTGACACTCCTGTGATTTCTTCCTACTTTGTGTCTGTACCATTTTGCATGAGCTGCTGTCACACTGGTCAGAAGGGAGCCTGTGTGGCTGCCAACCGTTCTCAGAACCTGCCGTCCCTTCTGCAAGCACACACATGACGCAGGCTGCACAGTTTTTAGGTTTCCCCCTTACACTGTACCCTGAGGAGTACCAGCCAGACCTTTCTAGTCTAGGTTTTAAAGTCCATCAGCGCGTCCACAGTGCTGTGCCCGCAGTGCTGTGTGTCTTGTGTGTCTGCAGTGCTGAGTGCCCAAGCTACTCCAGCCACTGCCACTCAAACAGCTCAGTTCTGCCCATTCCCATTCCCATTCCTGGGAGGTCTCTGCTTGTGCCTCACCGAAGCCCCCACCCCACCACACACATTCCTGTTCCTGTCTGGAAGCCTCTGACCTTCACAGCAGCACTGCTGCAGTAGCTCCGAGTCCCCCACACACTTGCAGACCCTGACAATCAAAGGCAGGAGCACCTCTGCTGCCCAAGTGACAGCAGGAAGCACTTGTTAAACCCCTCAAGGATTTTTAAAATCCAGCTCTGAAAATTACTCATTTCCATTTGGCAAATCCACACCATTAACCCCGAGTACACAGGGTGCCAGGACAGGAGCTGGGCAGCACTTTTCCCGTTGGTTTGTAGAGCGGAGACCACCTCCTGACAGTCACCCCACTTAAGAACTGTCAAGAGAATTTGTATGGATAAACTACAGAGAAAGAGCAATGGAGCTGTCTTAAATGAGTAATTCTCGCAGGAAGGAGAGCTAACAGGAGACCCTTCTCCAAGCCTTTCTTCTTTGCAGAATGAGACCCCCAGGAGTTTACAGCCAAGAGCCCAGAGAAAGCAAGCCTGGGGCACCTGCTCCACACAAAACCTCAGCAGCACTAGTGCAGCAAGTCAGGTCTCACTTGAGGAAAACGCAGCCAGGAGACCACTGGTGCCGAGCGTGCCTCATGGGATGCGCAGAGATAAACTGAGAGGCCATCTCCTCTTTTCTGTCTGAACAGAAGCACCTGGTGCCCCTGGGCCAGGAACAGAACATACAGAAAACTGTTTTGTGTGAAAGAGGTTGACTTTTCACATACATAACATTACACCTGTTCAATACACAGGAACTCAAAATTACTGCTTTTAATGATGAAAGCTGTCATGACTCAGTTGTCATCTGGGGGGAGGTGTATTCATCCATTTATCCCCCTTATAAGGTGGACTTGGGTGAAAATTATCAATCACCTGGCAAATATTCTGAGAGATCACAGCCTCACAGATAATAGGACCAAGACAATAACCAGACATAGTAGGTGCGTAGCTCGACTAACCGAATGGCTCGATATTTCGTGGCTCCACATCATAATATATTCCCAAGATTAGTACCGAAAGAAAAGGCTGTAGAAGCAACACAGGAACCTGCATGAGAAACCTGAGCTCAGGCCAGCTATGCCATTCCGCTAACCACAGACCAACATCGGTCCACACTATCGTGGCCCAGGCACTGGGGGGCAGGGACAGTGGAGAAAATAGCAGCTTAGGAACAGCAAGGACAGACAATTGTTGAGAAGTGTGGTGAGTGCTGCTGAGAATGAGGCACCTAATCCAGTCGGAAGGGTGCCGAGGTGGTACCAGGAAGGGCACGTTCTGGGTTGAGGACACGTCACGTGCAAGCCCTGTGTCAGGGCAGAGCAGGGCTCGCGCAGACACTCGGAGAGGACCGCCTACGGCTGGGGTGCAGGAGGTGGGAGACCAGGTTGGGGGCAGGCGGAGACACGTGCAAACTACACTACAGATTTTGTCGAGAATTTCTTCGCACTGTAATTATTTTCTCAAAATTATGGTTTTTATAGGGGACAGTTTGAGACAATAAGAAGCTATAAAACAAAGCAATGGGGAAAATACGCTGCACTTCTAACTCATTTCCCCTTTGAATTAAAAGGAAGGAATAGGACATGACAGAACCACCCAGCAGACATGGGAACACGGGCTCTCCGCACAGCGGACAGGGACTCCTTGAGGTGCAGCTGCCTCTCAAGTCTGTTTGCTCAGGAGTGGAATTCAGCGACATACATCCCACAGCTACAAAGCACGTGGCTGAGCAACTCGACCAACCTGGGGAGTTAGGCAGGAGGGCGGGGTGTTGGGTCTGGAACGGTAAGAACTGTGCTGCCCAGAGCAGTTACACAAGGAACCTGCACCTTGGCCTCCCCGTCTGTGGACGAGGACACCTCCCGGCTGTGGGCAGTGTGACCAGCTCACAGGCAGAGCACCTGGGCGAGCTGTGGGCAGTGCGACCAGCTCACAGGCAGAGCACCTGGGCGAGCTGTGGGCAGTGCGACCAGCTCACAGGCAGAGCACCTGGGCGAGCTGTGGACAGTGCGACCAGCTCACAGGCAGAGCACCTGGGCGAGCTGTGGACAGTGCGACCAGCTCACAGGCAGAGCACCTGGGCGAGCTGTGGACAGTGCGACCAGCTCACAGGCAGAGCACCTGGGCGAGCCCTAGAAGTTCTGCTGGGGCTCAGTCCAGTTGTCATAAATGATGAATCCTTGTTATAATTATCCCGAAACATTTGGTCTGACACAATGCACTACGGTGCCGCTGAGTGTCAGGAGAGCCCTTAGCCAGTGAGAACTCTGACAACAGGAAGAGTTTTCCTGGGACTTCAGCAGTGACGGCAGGGGAGGGTGAGGAGGAGCCAGCTCACCCACATCAGCTACTTACTCTCAGGGGTGCTGATGGCTCGTCTGGCTACAGGGTCAACAGCTCCACTGGCCTCCTGCTCCAGGCTGTAGGAAGACGCTAGGATACAATGAGAAAGTTCCATCATTCAAACACCCCAAAAATGTCACAGAACAAAGCAACTAATGAGGAACAGCATTTGTAAGCTACACAATAAGGTTAATATCCCATAGAAAATGTTCTTATAAAGAGGTAATTCAGAAAGATGCAAAAGATGACCAACAGGAGAGACAATGTCCACTCTCACTAGGATTCAAAGAAATAAAAATTAAAACCATAGCCATTTTTAGTCTATAAAGCTCAACAAAGAAAACAGGAAATTATAAAACCAGTGTTTCTAAGCAGGAAAACAGACACTCGTGCACCCTGGCAGGAGCGGAATGTGGCGGGAAGTACAGAGGGCAGAAGTTTTTAAATATTCAGGGCCTCTGAGTGCTGAGAATGAATCGTAAAGATCACGCATGTCTAGGGCTGTCGTACAGGATGTTTATTGTGACGTTATTTCAAACAACTGAAAATGCCTACATATACAAAACAGGGCAGTAATAAATATTGTGGTATTTCCACGTGATGCAATCTGCACAGTGATTGGGAGAAAGTTTGAAAAGTTAAAAAACAGAATGTGCACTAAGATCACAATTTTATAAATAAAACCAAGCACACATGTGTGAAGTGTAGAAAGACTAGAAAGATAAATACCTCACCACTATGGGTGAGTTTTCTATTCCACAATCTTTTCCAAATCTTTTATCACAAATATGTGCCGTTTTATTATCTATAATCCTAAGCCCCCAAAGCCTTTTATTTTAAAAATAGTAAAACAAAGTATTTTAAAAGGAATGAGAGGAGGCTTGCTCTGTGTTTCATCTGTAAATTCACTGAGTGAGATGGACAACCGGTGGTTCTCTGAGTCTCTGGAGCCCCTCAGACTTACCACCACTGAGCTCCTGGAGCCCCAGACCTATCACCACCGAGCCCCTGGAGCCCCTTGGACTTACTGCGACTATGCGCTCTGTCCAGGCTCTCAGAATTTAAGGTGAAAGGCAGCACTCCTATGCTCCGATTCCGACGCCTGCTATTCGACTCCACGGCTTTCTTGACGGAATTCAGGATCGCAATGGTACTCAGGGACATGGACCTGTGGAGAACATGCCGAGACGTGCAGAAAGCAAGACCCTGAGAACACTGCAGGTACCACCCATTTTTTCTCTCACCCATTTCGACCCTGAACAGGAAGAGCACAGAGTGAAGTATAGTGGAAACAACAGGAACACTCATACTGCAAATGCCCAGGGGCCGGCAAGCTGACTGCTCTGTGGGCTCCACACCTGGCTTTGGGCATGAGCCTCTTCAACTGCCCCGCTTCAGCCGAAAGAGGAAGAGATGCTGCCTGGCCAGTGCTTGACTCGGGTCTCGAGGGCTGGTTCGCACCCCGGGGTACAGAGGCATTTTCTTGGCCATCAGAAGCTGACATTATTTCTAAACCTGGAGCAACCTGTCAGAGAAGATAAGAAAAAAACACACAAAAAGGAATCTCTACAAGCTCTGAGCAAGTCCATGAGTTGACGTTAACACACGTCGGCCCCAGTAAGCACAGCTCTGTCCTCAGAAACAGCATGAGACTGCCACACGCTACTGTGCATCGCAGAGAAAAAGGGCACATCAGCGTGTCATCTTTTCTAAGGCGGCAGGTCCGCTGGAATCTGTGAGGCGAGCACACCGCACCTGACAGTGAGCAGCAGCTCCCCTAGGACACCCTGCGCTGCAGGAGGTTCTCAGAGGGGCTGCTGGCAGGACAGCAGGCCAAGCAAGCAGCCTCTGGAGACCTAGTTATCTGTGGGCCCCTGTGATCAAAGGTCAGAGAGCCTGTGCCACCTGCTCGCTGGGCATTCGCACATCTCCCCAAACTATATGGTAAGGACTTTCCAGACAAGTTCGAGTGGCAGGGCCTCGAGGGTAGGGAAGCCTCCGTGATCCAGCTCCCTGTCTGCCACATAACAAGCGCAGCCACGAGCAGCAATCCCAAAGCCTGACTGAGACCAGCCTCTGCTTACGGGTGCGCAGAGCAGGCTGCAGAGGAGGGCCAGCCTCAAGGTAGCCGCTCACCTACCTGCAGGGCCCGGGCCCCGTCAGCACCTTCCGTCACCCTGTTCGCTTCAGCTTGTCTTGCCAGCTCCTGCTCCTGGGCTAGCTGTTCGCTGTACTTCTTCATGTCGTACTCGAGTTCTGATGCCAGCTGCTTGTCAACTGCAAAGAAGTCCTTGATCTCATCCCGGTAATCCTGCATTACCTCCTGAAACAGACGCAGGCACCGTTAGTGCTTCCTGATGAGTAATAAGCTCTCCACACAACCTGATGAATAAAAATTAGGGAAGGCTTATTTTGCTGAGAGGACTATTCTATTACAGCAACCAACGAGTTAATTACACAGTGGCTTCCCAGGACACACCAACTGCACTTGACCACATAAGCAAGGGAGCAGAATGGGAGGCAGTATCAGAGTTCCAATCGCTCAGGAAGCTGACTGTCGCTCTGCCAGTTAACAGGTAATCTCCCAGGTTGCTGATGGGAGACAGGACGTGGAATCGCACAACCTTAGCCTAAAGCTGAACTTCAACGGCACAGAACTGCTCCTGCAGGCCGGCCTTGGGGAGTGATGCATGTGGGTGGTCTGGCTTGGCTCTGGGTCCCCACCAACGCCTTTAGGAATTCACTCAGAAGTTATGTGGGTAGGTGACACACGGCACTGTTGTGGCTAAGACAGGCCTCTGGAGCAAGGGATGGAGCAGTGCCGCCTGAAAGGGGACCCTCTGTCCACACTGGCTTCCTCAGAGGACTGCAGCCGTGGCTCAGTCCCACTGGTGTCCTCTCCTGAAGATGTGACAGGAAACCCTGTCACCATATCATGGTAAGAACATCCTCAGGTCTTAAAGGGGGTTGCTAGGACCAGCCTCTTTGCTAGGAGGAAGAAACCGCCTCGGCTAACAGGGCTGGAGGGAGGAAAAGATGTACCGTGGCCCCAAGTAGTCCTCACAACGGGAAGGAAGTGAACAGACTGCTCCACCGAGGGGGCGGCACAGGCTGCCGCCGCGAACAGCACCAACTGAAGATGAGGCGGCTGCTCCACCCGGCGGCTTCCCAGTGGCCGTCCCCTGGGTGTGTGCTCAGAATAGGAGAGATTCTCGGTTTCCTCAGGTCTAAGCAGTCTGTTTAGGAGCTAAGCCGTTTTTTCTTTTCTGAGGTTTAATACAGGGCAATACAAATATAAAAGTAACTGGAAGCTCCCATTTTTTTCCAGACAGTGAGCCTATCATTCCCATCTTAACTTCCTTAGGATAAAGAGCTATTTGAAGAAGTATATTCAATGTAATTTTTGTTGTAGCTCTTTTTGAAAAAAATTCTTAGTGGTTTTGTTGTTGTTTTTTAATCCTCCCCCGAAGAGATTTTTTCCATTGCTTTTCAGAGAGAGTGGGAGGGGGAGAGAGAGAGAAACATTGATGTGAGAGAGACACATCGACTGGCTGCCTCCCACGTGCCCTGACCAGGGCCGGGGATCGGGCCTGCAACAGAGGTACATACGTGCCCTTGGCCAGAATTGAACCTGGGACCCTTCAGTCCACAGGCTGACGTTCTAACCACGGAGCCAAGCTGGCCAGGGCTCTCAGCGTGTTTTAATAAAATAGCATAGTGTAAACACAGAAAGGAAATAAAGCTGCATTTACTTCTGACAGAAGTTTTCCCAGAGCAGTCTGCGGCACCACTCGGTCTGTACTGCAAGGACGCACACCTGGCTGCGCAGACAGGCTTTCCGTGGCCCCCAGAGCCGCTGCTATGGGGCAGCTATGTCCTAACTCGTCAGTCAGAGACTTAAATGAAACATGATGACAGTTTCCCCTCACCAGAATGAACTAAGCTGATGACCTTGCTTTTGACCCCATGGAGAAAGTCCTCAAACGGAACCTGGCTGGCTGGTCAAGGACACATGCTCAGCGGTGGGTCAGCTCCGCACACCCTCAACTGCTCAAAAGAAGGGCCACCTTCTGTGGGACCCGGGCAAACTCCTCGTCTCTCCAGCAGCCAGAGGCCTGGCTGGCTGGTCTATTTTAGACAATGTGACGTGGTCTTGAGGCATTTCCAGTCCTAGTCCTTGACCAAGCAGCCGCGGCATGGTGAGGGCCAGCGCAATCGTACCCTGAGGTAGTGCATGAGCTCCCGCAGAGCTGGGACCTTGTTCTTTTCCAGCACAGTCTTCAGGGAGACGATGATGGGAATGACGTTCTCTATGAAATTCCTCTTCTGAACCTGCAGAAACACACAGGCACGTTTCAGACACGTGAGGCCGAGAGACAGACGTTCCCTGATCTCGCTCCTGAGTCTAGCAGACCTAGCTAGACCACGTGCGTCTACCTGTGATTTTTGGTTATGGTCCTGGGAACTGTTAGGACGCATCGCCGCTGTCCTGGAGACGTTGTGAGCGTTACGTCAAAACCAGGGAAGGTGGCAACGCAGGATACAGATAAACAGTATTCTTATTTTCTAAACAAGAAAAAGGAACTAGAAATATGTTGGGTCACTTGATGAAAAGTTCCAAACCTCCATACAAACCCACCTTGGACCCTGGCTCCACATTCACCCCTCCGTCTAAACCCTCCCTTCAGGATGGGTGGATGCCCAGAGACATGCTTATTCCTGTTGGTGACACGACACTGGTCCCAAATGGCCAAGCGTGAAGGCGGTCAGTTGTCTGTCAATCTCTCACTCTGTAACTTTGTATCTATTAAGAAAGTGCTGTGCATTCACATAGTCATGACTGGACCAAGGCTTCATATTCTTTACCGTGAATGATCACTAACTACAAATGCTTTGCATTCATCTCGTATAATTAAAAAGAATTCATTGTAGTGGCACACATGTAAGATTCATCATTCTGAATCTGAAAAGCAGTCTTTTTTATTTAAAGTCATGAGTATACATTTCTTGCTTGTAAAACACTCATTTCTAAAAAGCCTTATCAGAGTTGCTGAAACAGGAGGGCAACAGTAGAGAAATAAACAATTTAATAAATACAAGTCTAAGCAGATGGTATCTGTAGGGGCTTAAGTGCATTCATTCAGCAAATATTTTCAAACATCTTCTCTGTACCAGACACAAAGCTAACCTCTGGGGATACAGAAAGAAAGCCAGCAATTCTTGTCTTCAAGTCACCTTGGACCAGACCAGAGTCTGTGTTTTGACGTGTGCCCTGCTGTGCCATGTAGCAGGGTGTCAAGGAACTTATGGAAGAGGGATGCCTGGGAAGGAAGGGGTAAATAGGAGTGTAAGTATAGAAAGGGGTAAATATTTGAAAAGATGATACTTAGGATGTGGAGGAATTAAATGTGGAAAAAGGCAGACAGGGTGGGAACGGGCACTGCAGACAGAAGCAGCAGCATGTGAAGGCCGAGGCAGGAGGCACCTCCCGTCAGAGGGATGGACAGTTCTCTGGAACAGAGATCTTGCAGCAGGGAGCATGTAGAGAGGGAAGGGGGGAGTGGCAGAGCACACATAAGTTTTATATGCCTTGAAGAATCAGGATTTTGTTCTGAAGACGACAGGAAGCCACCAATCTACTTATTAAAGATGCCGTTAGTGAGGTGTAACTTACACACAATAAAATTGGCCATGTTAAGTGACCACTTCAATGAGCTGGCAGAAGTGCATACGAGTGACCAGCACTACAATCTAGGTCATCACCCACAGTCCACGGCCCCAAAAGCTCCCTGCTGCCCCTGCAGCCAGTCTGCCTCTCGCCTGTTTTAAGCAGGAGATTAAAATGATCAAATGTGCTCTGACAGCAAGGGGGTGCACAGTCCGGAACAGAAAGAAACTGGAGACAGAAGGATGTTGGGAAACTGGCAGAAGAGGTGCAGGCCACGCAAACACAGAGCCAGAAGTTCTGTGAGAGAGACGGACCTATAAGCTGAAATGGACACGTGGAGCGAGACAGCCCCATTCTGGGGGTCCAGAAGTCTTTAGGGCTCAGGGGGAAACAGGAATCAGCGATCCCGGCTGGGAACAAGAGCCTGGGCTGGAGAGAACCACCACAATCAGCTGCCCCTAAGTGATTCAAATCCAATTCGGCCGAAGGAAACAGGACCTGGCCTGCCAGACTCAGGCATGGGGTGCTAGCAGGCCCTTCTCTACAACAAAGGCTGCAGGAAAGGAGAGTGACGAAGAGAGGAAGAGGGCTGCAGTTCAGTTTGGACAGAAATCTGAGAGGCAGTGGGACATCCAGGCCGGCAAGTAGACTGGGCTCACATTCACGAGACGGTGGCACACAATCACCACCTGGGAGAACTCAGGCCACTGCTGAGAATGAGATCGGGGTCTTGGCCAGGCCACCAGTACTGAGGGTGCAACCAAGCCTCCCTAGAGAGCACACTCACCTGTGAGATGAGCTTCTTCTGAGCTTCCTGCATGACGACATCTGCCAGGGCCATGTCATCTTCTTCCAGGAGGAGGTCCTTGTCTGGTTTTGATCTCATGGCCAGAAGCTTGATTTCCTTTGAGCTGAGGACCTCGAAGGTATCTGAAAGGAGCTCGCTGGCTTCCATGTCCAGGGGCAGGACGCCATCTGCGAAGCACGCTGAGAGAGAGCACAGAGATGGGCTCTGAGAGTTAGTGGCTCAGAAGGGAGGTGGCGTCACAGCCAGGGGAGCACGTCCGGCTGCCAAGGGTCTACATGGGCACAGGTGGTGTCCAAGAAGGACAAAAAGGGGTCTTCCTATAGGGCCAGGGTCCCATTTGCTCCAGATCCGCTAGACCATTAGCAACACAGCATTTCACTTCTAAATGGACATTTTATCCCAACACAACATGCCTACCCAGAATACTCAGGCAGATTTTGGACGTGATATTGAATCGCTGCTCGTCTGTGAAGTGCTCTAGAAGAAACTTGTAGATTTTCATTCGTTTCTCCTTGTTTGTCTTTCCCTTCAGTGAAAAAAGACGCTTCTCTCTGTGGCAAACAGGATAATTTCACCACACCACATGGGCAAGGAGACAGCATCGCACAGCCACCAGCCAGTGCGCAGCACAGCATGTCCCCAGGACCACTGGCTCCAGTGAGGTTTCTTGCATGGCCCTGCCAAGATGAGCAACAGCCCCACAGGAGGATGTGGGCTGGGGCCTGGAATTCTGCACTCTCACCGGGCTCCCCACTCTCATCCGGCTCTCCCCTCTCACCCAGCTCTGCTCTCAGCCAGCTTTCGTTCTCACCGGGCTCTCCCGCTCTCACCGAGCTCTCCCCTCTCACCTGGCTCTCCTCTCACCGGGCTCTCCACTCTCACCCGGCTCTCCCGCTCTCACCAAGCTCTCTGCTCTCACCCAGCTCCCTGCCCTCACCCAGCTCCCTGCCCTCACCCAGCTCTCTGCTCTCACCCAGCTCTCCCGCTCTCACCAGGCTCTCCGCTCTCACCTGGCTCTCCCACTCTCACCCAGCTCCCCGCTCTCACCCGGCTCTCTGCCCTCACCCAGCGCTCCCTAGGTCTCACTGACCTCTCCGACTGGGAGAACTTGTTGTACTTCTCGTGCTTCTCATAGTTATTAAAGTGGAAAATACACTCAATGAAGTGCTGGAAGAACATGACAGGATTCCTCTTCAGAAGCAGGTGAGCGAGGCAAAACTCCCCAAAACTGCAAAAGAAGGAGACCCATTGGCTATCTGTGGACAGCCACTAAAATTACACCAAGAACTCTGCAAAGCAGAGGGGAACTGTGAATTAGGGTAATAGATACCAAATCTATCCCAATGAACAGCTGCATTCGCATCAAAAACAAGACCCGACTTTAGCTTCGTTTGTCAATCCTGCCCACCAGCTTCCTTTCTGACTCCAGGGCCAGCATAGAGGTTTCTCTACGCAGTCTCCTCTCAGAATTCTAACAAGGTGTCATTAGTCAGCCTCACTTCAAACTGGGAAACACAACCAACCGGTCCCAAGCGCTTCTTCAGGGCAGAGGCCCATGGTCCTTAAGGCCGATGCAATGAGAATGACCGCCTGGAAATGAACTTCGCCCCCTACCTGAAGTCTGTTGCCCACAATAATGAACAAAAACCAGTTTTAGTAACTGCTACTTTTTCAGGAACTGTGATTAATTACAAGAGCTTCATAGTTTGCGTCAGCAGGGCAGGTACCTTCCACAGACAGCAACTGACTATTGCCGAGCTCTGGACCCTCAACCCACCCTAGGCCCTCTCCTCCTCCTGTGCTCAGGCATGGAAGAGGCACCTAGCACACACAGTGCAACACAGTGGGGCGCCGATGTCACGAGCACCATGCCAACCTGAAGGGCAAAACCTAACTGTCTCCCAGGCCAGGCTGTTAACTGCAGGCTCCCTGACAGCTGTTTCATCATGGCAGCAGGTGAGACCACGCCAGGCACTGCTTTCTGCTCAAGGGTCACCTAAGGTGGTGCAGGGCTGGCTTTGATCCACTCACACTGTCCACATCAACATTTCCATTTCATTTCAGAGTTAAATGCAATCTCCACCTACACAGCAGCACCAGTCAGTTCCCACCTGGAGAGGAGTGGGGACAAGTACCAGCCAAACATTTCACTCCTGGCTGCAGAGCAGAGTGCAGGAGGATGGCCACAGGTGTGCCCTCCCTGCTGTCTCTCCTGTGTCATTCCTGGTGGCAGTGTGCAGGATGACTGTCACAGGTGTGCCTCCACTGCTGCTTCTCCTGAGGCTCACATCCATGTCAGATTGTAGTCACAGTACACATCAAAGTTCAGAAGGTAGTTCAAAAACCATGAGGTTGAAATAAGCTTAGATAAAAATACTGCTGCTGCTAATCATGACACTCTATTAACCTAGGAAATAACGGAGCAGCCTGACCTAATTATGAAAGAAAACAAATACACCCTATTTAATACAGGGAACCCCTCAGGAGAAGTGCACTAAGGCAGCTAGCAGCACCTGCTTGGCCTGAGAGCTGTCAGTATATTCTACACACACCATGTTTTTAGTAGCCCAGGTTAGAAAGGAGAGAGGGTCACCTCATGAAGTTCTTGTTAAACAGGGTTACTTCAGTAAACCATCGTGACAAAGAATGGAGAAAACCACTCAACAGGCATAAAGCATCCCCCAAAGGAGCTACCAGACTTTACCTTCTGCAGTACTTATCATGGCTAACCTCCCACGCATAGCATTTCTCACAGCTCCCTGAGTTCTCTTCTGAGATCTGAAGTCATTCATATGAAAATGTATAATCAGATGGAATCCACTAATTCTTCTGCAAGAAGAGAGGTTGCTCAGAGCTTGAGTTCACTGTCAAATGCTCATCTACTTAGAGTCGGGGTCAAGAACACACGCAGGCAGAATTAACTAAGCAGCAGGATACTTGGGTCTGCTCCCTAGTGAATTAACAGGCTACACAAATAAAGTCAGTGGTAACATAAATTACACCCGGGGCTGAAAGCAGACCCAGAGAGCTCTCTGCATCGCCAGAAGCCAGAAACCACAGTCCGTGGGTCCAAGCAGCACTAACCCTGCTGCTGCCTCAATCAGGACCCACAGAGCCAAGATCCAGCTGTGATTGGATTAAGATTCTCAGATCCTACTCACTCAATAAAAGGAGGAAGAGGAGCTATTTTTTTGTTTCACTGCTGAAAAGTTAAAAGGAGTTAGCACTTTAAGAGATGCCTCCCGAAGCATTCCCTTCGAGTGACTGAAGGCGGCACTGTTCAGTACCTGGAACAGACTCCAACAGTTCTAAAGAAATCTGACTAAGTTAAGACTCACCACCCTCTCTCATTGCTCCTTATCCCCCAGTACAACAAGCAGAAATCATACATCATCACACCACCAATTCAGGGATATTGTCCAGAGTTTACCCAGCATTAATTAAAAGGAAGACCAGTGAAATCTAAGCAATAATCTCGTGGAAAGAAATTATTCCTCTCTTACTATGAATCTAAATCCAGCTTTCAAACAGCCCCATGAGGCCACAGGGGAAGAGCGGCGTGTTCACATTCATTTTTAGATGTTGCAGGAAACATAAAACCCGACTTCTTTCAGGTGCATCCCAGGTTCTATTCCAAAGGGGGTCCCTGCTGAATGAAGGCTGCTGCCAGTGCGCACGGATTCCCAACCTTCTCTATCTCAACTAGGACTGGGCTCAGACCCTCTACACCAGGATCTCACCTGAAACCTGAAGCAAGTGATTTCCTGTACCTGTCACCCTTGGTTGCACCCAGCCCCAGCCCTCCTCACCTCCATCACGCCCCTACATCTATCATGCTGTGCTGACTTCCTCTTGATCTCACTTCTCAAGTCTCCTTCCCGGCCTATACTGAGTCTCAGCTCCGAGCTCTGCGCTCTACTTACTCTTGATAGATGCGAGCTGACTTTCCACCAAGGACACTGGTTCCCTCACAGCCCTCAAACCAGAATCTCCTGGATCATAGGTCAATGCTCAACCACTGAGCCACGCCGGCCAGGCAACGACTTCCTTTTCTCCCAAACCAAACAATCTCTGTCTCTACTTCCTTTTCTATCTCAATGGTCCATTCTTTTAGTCACTTTTTTGCCTTGAATCTCTCTGGCCCCTGCCTCCTAATGCTTCTGCAACATTTACCCAGTTAAATGGAAACAATCCACTGATTATCTGGCTGTCACCCTGCGACTTCAGTACTACATAGCTATCTCCTATTGGGCAGAGGAAAAACTATATCATACAATTCTGTAGCCCCCACATTTTGGGTTTATCACCATATGACCAATTAAAAATGTCATGCAAATTTGCTCATGGCAGAATCTTCAGGAAATCCATTTGGACCAAAAATAAATTCCATAGGCTCTGCCATGATAGTCTTTTTGGTAGATCAGTATTAGCAGATACATGTGGAATAAGTGATGTGTCTAATGTAAGCATACAGGCCTGACCGATGGCCTAAAACCGGGGAACAGACTCATTTAAATGACAGCAAATCTGAAAATCATGGTCCACATTTGAACCATGGTTTAAACAAACCCAGAATCACATAAAATGGAAAGATTTAAGGGGGAAATATTAAAATGTTATGAGGCACCGATACTCTTACTATAGTGTAAATATCTATCTGTCCTTCTAATTTCTTTGATTCATGCTCTGATCACCTATACAAGTTCTGTGTACATTTTACATACTAATCAATGATCTTTTTAGTTTATATGTACAGGAGCTGACAAAAGTGGGAAAAACAGAACTGCAAGTTAAATAGCCAATTCACCTCCCAGGTTCATCATTTGAGAGCCTGCTAAGCACATCTAACTGTGCCTGCTCCTGGCGACACATCACAGAGAGAGCCCTGAGAGCAGCAGAGTAAAGGTAAGAGGCACTCACAGCTATCTTGGCCCCTTTCCTAATTATATAAACAAAGAAAAATAACATCAGCTTTTTGCTTCTGACTCCAGACAGTACTAATTAACCTCTACTAGTTTACTATGTAAGATGTTCCTCCTTGGAAAATTATACCTAAAGGAAACCAAGCGGAAATTGCCCCAGGGAACTCAGAGCACCACCGGTGAGCATATTTAGAACCGGAGGAATCCGCTATTATGAGCTATTTATAGCTCAGGAGCCCTACAAGGACCTCTTCCCAACTGTGGCAGCTATTGCACAGCATTCAATACTCTATCTCCCAAACGCAGATTTGCTTCAAAAAGAATTATTCATACAACGTAATCCAGGTTAACAAATTCTCTAAGATCAGTTTTCAATCTCTGAAAATAAATCTTTAAAAAAATTACTGAGTGACAGGGATTAAGAAGTGACAAAGCAATTCTTTCCCTTCCAATGGTCAGGAAACAGCCACTTCCAAGGAGCCTTGTGATCTGCATACTCTATTCCATGCTGTGCAATTGCGTCTTAGTTCCTAGAATTTCTTCCTAAAATTTCTGCACGTAAAAGCAACTGAACTCTATCAAAACTCACATTTTACTGGCCTAGAAATCGACCAAGTTAGGTCAATGTTAATGGCTGATATTCTAGAGTTTACTGTGAAAAAAGCACATACTTCTTTAGGGAGAGTGACCAATGTCAGCAAATGTAGTCAATGCTGAGATTATTTAATGGTCAATCTGAATGCGGTGTTTTCCCCTTAAACTTGTATGCAAAATAAAGCTTTGTTATATAGCTTAGTATTTTAAAAATCTGCTAATTTTCTGACAACTGCCCAGAAGCTCAGTGAATCCTAAATAACTCAACTCTACATCAATTTTAAAGAAAGATCTAACGCAGACCAGAAGTCAGGTAAATCATTAGCTACCTGACACTCGAGGGAAGGGATTTACCTGGCGATGTCTGGGTGTGAGTCTATCAGAGTGCTGACAAACCGGAAGAACAGAGAGCCCTTCCATTTCACAAACTCTTCCTGCACAAAGAGAAATGACACGATTATGAAGGACTTTTAATATATGAACCTTAAAAGTATTCAGTCACAAACCCAACTGTTAGCTTCCTATTGTTTAACTTCACGCCCACCAGCCACTCCAGTCTGCCTGTGGCCCAGGAGTCTGTTAGCTAGCTCTCAAGTCCCAGAGCAGTGGAGGGATATGCAGAAAAAAGAGCCTCAGCTCTTTGATTCCCAGCACGTGGTTTTACAAGGCAGAGTGACACTGGTTCCTTCCTTAAACACATAATTATGAAGAAACGAGTATACAGAACATACTAGAGCAGTTAATGCCCTCTTTTTAAAAACCAAATATTATTTTCCCCTCCTCATAGGCTAAACGTGTTCTCAATGTGAATAAAAGTACCTAATGCTCTGCAGAGTTTTACATCTTGTGAGGCTCCTTCACACACTGAAATGTCCCACTGGCCTCTCAGAGCAGCTGTGAGACGGCCAGGGAAAATACTGTAATTCTCATTTTCAAATGGAGATTTGTTATCTGAGAAACACCAATCTGTTTGAAAGTCAAGAACAACAGAACTGGAACTAGACCCACTAATGTCCTGAGTGTACTTTTCTCTCTACGAGGCGCTTATCTGCAAAAATGAACATTTATGCTGCTTCACAGGATATCTGAACAAATGCCCAAAACAAATATTAGGAAGTAACAATCTGTTTAAAAAGCTGTACAGAACATTAGAAGAATGATTATTTTAAACCAAAGGTGGGGCTAATTATTTTTGGATTCTGCTACAGAGCAGCACATCTCCTACGCTACCCAAAAATTCCCTTAAACCAGAGCAATGTTGGAGGGAGGATGACAGGTCTAATTCTCCACGAACCTGCAAGAGGTTGGTAAGCAAGATGAGAGTTTGCTTTCGGATGAATGGATCTGAATCCTTCAGACACATGGCGATATTGGGGATGTACTTATCCACCATGACAGTGTACCGGATACAAAGATCACACATAACAATGACAACATTGTTGCGAACAGCCACGTCATCGCACACCTCCAGCTCTCTCACAAGGGCCGGGATGCTCTTCTTTGCAAGGTCCTCGTGCTGTAAGCACAGCTTACCTGTCACAGAAGAGAGTAAGTCATGACTCTATTCTATGCTAATTAGGCACAGAGGCCTGCATTTTCCCCAGATATATGTTGCAATAAATTTTATTTAATCAAAGTTAAAACATCATGTCAACAATCACAAAAAAATGAAAGGCAGACAGACCCATACTAAATATTAGAAAATTCAAAATACCTTAAGAAAAAACACCTCCCCCATCCTCCAGGATCATGAGATATATATTCCTTCCCTATAGTAAAATTATCTTTCATTTATTTGTTTATTTTTTTATTTATTTTTAAATCCTCACCCAAGGACACACTCACCAACTTTTAGAGAGAGGGGAAAGGAGAGCAAAG